ATGACATAATTTTATGTGTTTTACTAAAGGAGTCTTGGTGTTTTGGGGGTCCTTCTATTCTGTCATAAAATTTATGAGTTTAGATCACCTCAATAGCACACAAAACAGCGACAACACATTTTACTATTTTGCATAGTTAATTCACTCAGAGAAAGCATATTTTTACAGTGAAAGCTTTGAAATTCAAAACTAGATAAGACTACCTTGCTTTTTTGGATCTTGTAGGTTTTTGCTTATAACAAAATATACTCACTATTTTTCTATTGCTTGTTTCAGTGAAAACTATTTGAGTTTTCCATCTCTTTCAGTTCTTTACTTTACATAAGTTCTGGCTCTTTTATATGTGATTGTATACTAAAGGGTCCAAACTAAAACACTGAAATATTCTTTCAGGAAGATTGACAAACCTTTATCTTCTTTATAACATCATGCACATTATCTCACTTCCTTAAAAAAATATGTTATAATCTTAATATCATGAATTTTTATGGATTATATTTTGAGGGATGGCTAATTCATAGCATTGAAAGGAATATCTACTTTAATTTATTAATTTCTTTCACAAACACTTACTCAACAGCTGATATCTACCACAGAATCTTTCTGCAAGGCATAGTCGTGTCCACTGTAATGTGATGTGGAGAAATGTTGATGTCTCATAATTGCATTTAGGTTAATTCTACTCAGTTGAAGTCTTTCATAACAGAATCTCTAAACTGTTTACACTGTGCATAATTGTCTTTGCTAAAAGTATCCACAGTTTGAGGTTATAAATTTTTCTTTTTTCTTTACTGACCTGGGTATTGCCTCGTGTCATGCTATTTTAATCAACTCCACTATAGCAATCTAGTAGTGCATTGTTTTTTAAATCCACATTTTATTTCTGAAATTAGGACAGTAAGATCGGAAAAGTACTTCTGAAAATTTCTTTTCATAAGCCAATCATTCAATAAACAATTGTTAAATACTTACTCTACTGAACTCCATATTATGCTATGGAAGCCCAAGATAAGTGTTTTCAATTTAGATTGATACCTCATTCCTATCTAGACCATCTTCCTTGATCAGTTCAATAAAGAACTTTTTTTCATACATTGGTTCAATAAAAGGAGACTTAAATATAGAGAGTATGTGATGCAAAGATCTCTGAAAAGAAAGATTGACAGATCCCTTTCCTGAATATTGTGCCTTCAATGATTGCTCTCTTTCCACTTCTGCAGGTAGAAATCCCAAAATTGAAAATTCCAACCGGCCTAGAGAATGTATCAGGCATTTCTTCCCAAGAAGGAAGTGCTTTGTCTTTGATCGTCCTACAAATGACAAAAATCACTTGGCACACATTGAAGATGTGCCAGATGAGCTGCTAGATCGTAATTTCCTGGTGCAAGCAGAAAAATTCTGTTTTTACATCTTCAGCCAAGCAAAGACCAAGACCCTGAGACAGGGAATCATTGTCACTGGGAACCGTGAGTTACCTCTGCTGTAAAGCATGTCTCTCTATAGATCAATGTATGAGGTATTACTATGATTGTTATGTGCATTTATCAGTAATTTTTTTCTTCTGCATGTGAATATGCAAAAAGAGGTGCATATGCCACACATAGTAATTAACATTTTAAAATTATTTTATCCCTACATGGGGATTTATTGAGTCAAATATATCTCAAGAAATTAATGCATTAAGATGTAGGCACCAACTTTTGGAAAGGAGGGAATATCTGTATATCATGGACAAGTCCAACATGATAAATGCTTCTCAAGATAGAAAATATACTTTACAAAATTACCCAAGTAAGAAAATATAAAACAAGTCATGAATCCCTACATATCCATTAGAAGTTTGAAAAGCAAAATTAAATGTAATTAATGCATAGAACTGTTAACCACAAGCTTAGCAGTTCAAATATACCAGCTCTTCCACATGAGAAAGATGATTCTTTCTGCTCCCATAAAGATTTACAGCCTTGGAAATCCTACACAAGATCACTATGAGTAACAATCTACTTGATGGCAGTAGGTAAGAGCTGACTTCATAAGTATCTGCCCTGTGCACTTGTGCAGTGTCTGTCCTGAGATTGGTTCATATTTGGATTAATTCTCTGTTTTTCTATCTTGATATTGTGTTTTTTGTTTTTGTTTTTTGATGGTAAGAAACCAGTATTTTCTTTTGGAACTGGCCTCATAAATTATGTAACTACTTTGCTGATTTAATAAATACATTTTATTTCATTTGAATGAGAAAGTTGATTTTCTTTTTTTTTTTTCAGGAACCCCTGAGAAAGATAGTGGTTATGATCAGTAATCCAATTTTTTATGGTAAT